CGGATCTCAATATACACACAAACGAATGATCTGTAGTGGAAAATATAAGTATTATTATTAATGACTTTATTCAGTATTATGTGTTCAGTGCAATCTACAATTGTTCGCATATAATGTTTTTAAATTTACTCTTACAAAAATGTATAAGCAACAACAATGTCATACAATTAGTGCCCCTTATGAATTTGAATGAAGTCAGAACGAACATGGATGCAAAATAATATGAATTCATTATATTTCGTAGTTTCCCATCAGCTGCTTACAACCATATGTTTCTGCATCCATGCTCTATCTGGCTTTATTTAATCAATAACACGTGACAACTGAATATAATCGCATACATAAATTAACAAACAGGCAAATCAACTATCTAGAACTGAACGAAATTTTTTTATTTTAGAAGATATAAATCTGTACAACCTTTTAATTAGAAAAAAGTTCTTGACTAAGTTAGCCCTCATAACCTGCTCGTCACAGAGTATATCTGCTAGATAAAGTATTGTAGAGATTTTATACTTTTACTTGGGTACATGGATTCCAATGTATTGAAGTGTTATTCTACTAGAAGATATAAAGGAAGAGAGATGTGAGTGAAGCGCGCTATTTAAAAAGGGCAGTGGTATTCTTTCTCGTTCAGTAATTCACTGTTTTGATCGTAAATTACGCATCAAAACTACTGTTTTTTCACTTTAATTGCATCTACCCCAGTTAAAGTGATATTTTATTGAGTTTTTCGATTTTGCTTCTGTGTATTTATTGCATCGAAGCCTACTTGGTCGACTTTTACTTGGTTTATTTAGTTAAGGTTTGAAAATCCTTCTACATATCCTGTTTTCGTCACCGTTCTAGTTGATTTTCAAGATGGCTAGGTCTACTCATAAATGTGGACAACCATACTGCTTATTTCCCGTGGATGAAGGGATGCAATGTGATGAGTGTAATAAGTGGTTCCATAAGATGTGCACCCGATTAAGCCCCACTGCATATAAAAGGTGTTCAAAGCCCAACTCTCATTGGCTTTGTAGTTTTTGTTGCTCGAGCAAAACATTGCTTATCCAGGAAGCAATTAGTCTCCTGGTGTTGGCTAATAAGAAGGTTGATGAGGGCTGTACTGATAACATTGGTACGGATGGCGAAGATTGCGTTAGTGTCGTAAGTGCTATCACGGCGCAAGCCAGACATCTACCTGTGCAACCCACAGTTAAACGTTCTCCCCCGAAACGATCAGTGAGTGACACGTCATTAGACGTTGGTGGCCATATTGCTACAGCAGCAACCGGTGACCCAGATAAAACAATTACTGTCCCGAGTTGTTCTAATGTAGACGTTTCGACTGATGGAAAATGGATGACGCGAAAACGCAGAAGAGTAGGAAAGATAGCTAAAACTAATGACTGTTTACTTGGTAAGTCCTTGGTGGACTCTCAGACCAATCCGCCAAAGTCTCATAGTAAAGCTTCGTCTGACATTGTTGTGAGTCATTCGCTTGACTCCCAGGACTCTGTTAAAATAAAAACTAATCGTAAGCTACCAGTAGTTGAAATACAGGATCTAACGTCACGGTCGAAAGCTGTGAACACAGTTTCAAAAGAAGCTAAACCCATCCCTAGTTTAATTATTTGGAATCTAGAGGAGTCGAAAGACAACGACCCTGCTAAAAGACACGCACATGACCTACAGTTAGTGGAGTCTGTGGTCAGGAATGTACTACCTGAAGAGGTTTCAGGGGTACATATTACAAAAGTAATACGACTTGGTAAATGGGTTGGAGGCGAGACCCAACCAAGAAGGATCCTGAAGCTGGTTCTCGGGAGTTTCGAAGAAAGAGACATATTATTGAAAAGCGCACAAAAAACTCGTGCCTCAAATATCCGTATTCGACCAGATTGGCCGCTTGAGGATCGAATCAAGTGGAAGAATGCTCTTACGGAGTTGAGGACTCGCAAATTAAATGGCGAAAATAACCTTACTATTAAGGGTTTTCGGGTAGTCAGGTCTTGGAAGCCAATGCTTCCGAGGCCTGTATGGGTAGAACGATTGATTTCCAAAACACCTTAAGTGTGTGCTACACGAACGCTCATAGTCTTAGAAATAAAACGTCCGAGCTAAGTCTGATGGTGCAAGAATTATGTCCCGATATAATCGTTGTTACAGAAACTTGGTTCACCGTTGATATAGACTGTTCTCCTTTCATCGCTGGTTATATCTGTATCAGAAGTGATAGAGTTTCAAGTCGCAAGGGGGGAGGTATAGTATTTTACGTTAGGGATCACTTTCGTATACAATCAACCATATCGGAGGCTCATATCAGTGGCACATGTGAGGTTGCATGTTGTAAGATTAAATCTAGAAATGGGTTAGTGACTATAGAGGGAATATACCGTAGTCCGTCTTGTCTGGCTGACGACTTTATCCTAAGACACATCTGTTCTTGGAGTATGGCAGAATGTTGTCTCATCATTGGGGACTTCAACGCACCGCATATCAACTGGATAGAGCTTACAGCTCCAGGTAGCGGTTTCGATAGCGACCTTTTATCTACCGTTATTCAGTGTGCACTTGTACAATGTATCACAAAACCGACACATATTGATTTGCATCATGTTCCGTCACTGCTGGACCTCGCCCTTACCCACCACTGTGAGGATGTCTTTGATATCCAGCACCTTCCTCCACTAGTGAACAGTGATCACGTTGTAATTCACTTTAAGTTTAGGACACATGGTATACAATTCGTATCTGCTCCACCCCGTCCCAATATCTGGCGAGCTAATATTCCGGAAATCAGAAACCGTGCTATCTCGACCGATTGGTCGGTCGACGCGGATGGATTGATCGAAGATGAATGGAATAAGTTTAAGGCTACATTCGAGTCCGTAACATCGCCGTTTATCCCATGGTCAGCACGTAAGCTATCACATTGCCCTCCATGGATTAATAAGGAAACCCGGAAGCTGTTAAAGCGTAGGAAACATTTCTGGGACTTATTCTTGTTGACAGGTCATGCACCATTTAAGCGTGAGTATCAAAAATACCGTAATATCTGTTAGAAAACCATAGCGAAATCCCGTACCACTTACGAACGACAGTTAGTATATGATAGCCGTACTTGTCCGAAACGATTGTTTTCGTATGTTAAACGGCAAATGAAACGTAGTGATGGTATTCCCCCGTTGCTGTTACACGAAAATTCAGAATTACTAGCTGAATCAGATCGAGCAAAAGCTGAGACTTTTTCAGACTATTTTAGCGAAGTCTTCTCTACGTTTATTGTAACAAATACTTGTCCCACTCACACCGAGATACCAACAATTGAATCCGTACAGGTGACTGAGGAAACCGTCCTTCCGTTGATAACTAACCTCAAACCTGGTAAGATACCGGGCCCTGACGGGTTACATCCACGCTTGCTGTCATCTCTTGCGGACATTATTTCAAAACCGCTTGCGACACTCTTCAACATGTCCCTCTCACTCGCTCAACTCCCTAGAGATTGGAAGGACGCTATAGTTAGTCCTATATTTAAGGACGGTCAGCGACAGATAGTATCTAACTACCGGCCTGTCAGTCTAACTAGCATAGTCGTTAAGTTACTCGAAAAGATAATTCGGGTTAGGTTGCTAAGCCACATAGATTTACACAATATGTTAGCTCCTGAGCAACACGGATTCCGTAACAAGCGTTCATGCTTGACTAACTTGCTTATTGCGAGGGAGGATTGGACAGCAGCCCTAGATCACGGTCTGTCTGTCGACGTGATATTCATAGATTTTAACAAAGCGTTTGACAAGGTTTCACACGTAGGTCTTATGCAGAAGCTCACGAGCTTCGGAATAATAGGTACTGTACATGAGTGTATAGGAAATTTCTTATGTGACCGCAGACAGAGAGTTAGGGTCAATGGAACGCCATCCGATTGGAAGCCGGTCAAAAGTGGTGGCACCATCTTGGGCCCTCTGCTCTTCCTTCTCTACGTTAATGAGTTACCACTGTTACTTAGGTCGTCGACATTATTGTTTGCAGATGATGTAAAAATCTGGAGAACAATAAAAAGTGCGACTGATCATGTGGATGTTCAAGCTGATTTAGACGATTTAGTTAGATGGGCTCGAGAGTGGGGCTTAGAAATTAATGCTAGGAAGAGTGTACTAATGCACGTCGGTCACGGTAAGTTACCGTTACACTATTGAGGGTAAACCTCTTCCATGCGTTCAAGAGCATAAGGACTTAGGAGTAATATTAAGTCATGACTTAAAAACAACTGCGCACTGCAAAGCAGCCGCTGTCAAAGGTTTTCGTGCGTTATGGTCACTTCGCCGAGCGTTCAAATCTTTAGACGAGGAAACGTTTCGAATTTTATACCCCATATATGTTAGACCACATTTAGAGTACTGTATCCAAGCAGCTAGCCCGTGTCTAGTAAAGGATACTAACTCCCTTGAGCGTGTCCAGCGTGTGGGAACGAAATTAGTGAAGGGTCTTTCTAGTCTCCCTTACGATGAGCGCTTAAAACGCCTAAATCTTTTCCCCTTGTCGTATCGTAGAACACGAGGTGACCTTATACTGGCATTTCGTATCTTTAATTATGATTTGGGTGTTAATATGTCTTATCTTTTTGCTCCCTCCAGCACTAATAATCTCCGAGGTCACAGCAAGAAGGTTCATAAACCACGATCTAATAAACTTAAAGTGGGATCCCGTTTTTCTCATCGAGTAGTCAATCATTGGAACGCCTTCCCCGAACAAGTGGTATCAGCCCCATCAGTGAATACTTTCAAGGAAAAGCTGGACCTTCGCTGGAAAGCAATGTGTCAGGGTTAATACAGGTTCACCAACCTACTATCCTTATTACTGAAGACTGAAGACTGAAGACTGAAGTGGACAGTTTGTATCTGATAAGAAAACACTTGCCAGGAAATTTAAATGTCTACCCACAATAATATAAATAAAGACCCCATGAGAATCATCAAAAATGTTGTTAACTGCCTTCAGCACTTTCCTCAATACAGCAAATTATTTTCTTAAAAGCCCGGGAAAGAATAATGGAGAATAACAAGTAATATGCAAGAATCGACAAATTTTATTAGTAAATGTCGAGTAATCCCAAAAGCATGTAGCCTCTTTATGTAGTGAGTAGGATTTTGAGTAAATCACTACAAATGATCAAACATATTGCTGAATTTTCAAATCTCTGGTATTTATTCTAATGCCTAATATATTTGTCACAAGCTAGTATACACCGATCGATTTCTTTGCGCTTTATTCTTAG